TCACCTGCAACGGCTGGTGCTGCCGCAGGGACGTGCGCTTTTCAGAGCAAACCTTGCTCCTGGGGTCCCCCATTGCTCCCACCAACTTCTAAGAGTAATGGGGCCGCTTCCCTCCTCCCCTCACCTCGCCCCCTGTGGTGGGAGGCCTCAGGGATGCTGTGCTGGTATTGCTGGGAACTCCAGCATATCTTGTGCTGGTCAGAGAGAGGTACTAATTGACCTTCTCCGTTAGTGGCGCCCATGCCCTGCCCGCAGCTGCGGCTCCCCGCTGCACAGCTCTGAGCAGACGCGTCAGGATGAGCTGTTTGCCCGAGCAAACAGAGGGAGGCATCACAAAACTGCTTTCCTGTGACGGAGAACTCAATCCAGCCTGGCCAGGTTTCTCCTGAGCCCAGCACACCAGGGCCCGTGCTAACCCCCCTGGATCTGCTAACCCGCCCGGACCCCCGACAGTACCTTGCATTTGAATGGCTTCACTGGCGAGTGCACAATCATGTGGGTCTTGAGGGTCTGCTTCTGCACAAATGTCTTGAAGCAGATGTGGCACTGGTAGGGACGGACGCTGGTGTGGATCAGCATGTGCCGCTTCATGTTGGCCTGCAGGGTGAACTCCCGCCCGCACACCTCGCACTTGAACTCCTTCACGCCCTGCAAGGGGTTTGGAGAGCCGTGGGTAGGGGGCAGAGCCGAGCCCTGGGCAGAGAGGCAGCAGGCAGGGCTCTGCCTGCGGCGGTGGGGGCCAGTGCACAGCGCTGCTGGGGCGGCTCGGGGGCCTCTGAACAGACCCCTCAGGAGCTGGGGACGCATGAGAGGTGCCAGGCACGGTGCAGAGCAGAGACCTGCATTCCCCAGGGGGCATGGGATGGGCTCCTTGCACTAATCTGAACTTTGGGGACTGTCAGTGGACTGGACCGCAAGAACTAGGAGGGAGATTTACCCTCATCAGCTCATCTGCCCCTTCTGCAAGCACAAAGCAGGCACTACCGAGAGCCTGGGGCCGTCCCCGCACTGTCCCAGGGGGTAATTCCCACTGCCTGGTCTTGCAGCGGGCAGGATCCTGCCTCCTGCCTTGCTCCCAGATACCATCGTCTCACCCGCACTGGAAATGCATTTGCAGCACTTGGAAAACCCAGTATTAGGTCAGTGCTGCTGGAGCGAGAGCAGCTCCGCAAAGCGGCACCCACGGGAAGGGGCTGGCTGGGAAGTG